AGTGTATACACACATATGTATGTGTGTGGGGCAATGAAAAAGGGGAAGTAGGAGACCAGATTACAACCACTCTCATTTCCAACCATTTCTACCATTTCCAGCTTTACAAAAGGGTCCAGGTACAATTTTTTTTTTTCGGTGGAGAACATGACATTCCTGGAAAAAGATTTAGGAAGAAATTTGTGAACCTGTAGAAAGAAATCTTACAAGTTTGTGGATTATGAAGTCCTTTCTGAACACTGATGATAAGTGATAACTTTAATGTATGGAGTCATGGTGACGTCCCTGACTCACTGATGGTAGCATCTGCCCTAAGCAGAGGCTTGGACAGCCTGAGTGTGTGTGTGTTTGTGTGTGTGTGCGTGTGACCATGGGTGGTCATAATGTGACAGTGAAGAACACCATAACCTCATGTTGGATAGAAAGCATCACTTCTCTAAATCCCCTTAATCTGGTGGGTCGTTTTATACAAATGCTTGATGACTTCCATTTCATACACTTTAGAAGACAGACACATCCGGTCTGCAGAGAAAAACCTGTTATGAAAATGCACTGAAACACAAGGGCTTAGTGCCAAAATGGGCTTTTGCTATCAAATGTGTGTGTCTGTGTGGGCTAAGTGGAATTTACCGCTAGCAACCATGTAATTAACAACCTGCATTATTTCAATGCAAAAGACTGGACTGGGTTTAGGAAAGAAATGCATTTTGAAGAGTAAAAGAATTTGTCACTGGGGGACAAAAACGAACATGTATTATGAAATAATCACAAACGTTTCCAGACTCATCGTTTAATTTGACAGGTTTTTCTGACTATGGCTTATTTCTCTGCCCCGAATTGACTGTTGTTATTGTTCTTATTGACATTATAACGATTATAACATTACATTTAATCCAATATGCACTTTGTAATTAGCTATTTTTGGAGCAACCATGGTTAATATTTATCTCAGATTAGAAGGCCAATAATAAAATGGATAACTTATGAATCATACTGAATTGCTCCTTTAAGATGGATTCACAGAGAAAGAGAATACTGTAACAGCAAAAATGATATTCACGATATTCATAGAGAGAAAGATGAGCTCGAGTTTTACGTTGGAGGAAATTTAATATGTATATGAATATGTAACTAAAGCTGCTAACTGATTTTTACTCATGTTAGTTTATAAAATTTGCAATAGGGGTGCAATGATTCTCCAAATCCACAGTTTATATACCCGGGGGGGTCTCAGAGATCTTATGGGGCTTTAAATCAATCATAACTGATTGACACATGCAATTAAAAATATGCAGCTTACAACTTAAAGCAGAATATGACTTGATTATACTTGATACTATGATTTGCATATGTTTTAGTGTTAATGAAAAATAAATAGTTTTTCTATCAGGCAAGTAAAGGAAAATAAAAAAAAGTATATAAATAAAATATTCAGTGTGTTTCTCTTGTGACGTATTCCCTGCAGGCCAGAGGTTGCATGTCAAATCGCTTCTACTTTGCTCCAAATGGAACAACAATGTGTTCTCTGACCAATAGTCCACAACAAGTTTTGCAGATATTGCAACACTGACTTCATAGTTCATGCTGTTGGACTAATTTCATAATCCATACTTTAAGTCAGTGACAGATTATTAATCATTTGAGGATTACATGCATGGTTACAGAATGGAGCTGAATAACACGAGTTGTAGCTGCCTTCTGGAATGAATGGAAATGAGAAAAAAGTATGAGATAGGAATGATAGTGGAATGAACCAGATAATAGCGGGGGAGAAAAAAAAGGAGGAAGAAAAAAATGATGTAAACATGGCCTTAACAGTGACTATGATCCATGATATCTGAATATCCATGTGTATTAGTCAAAGCCTCAAAATAGTAATCCGCACAGTGAAAGACGAATATATTGGTTAAAAGAAGAAAGGACCACATCCTCTCAGCATCTGGAGCTGTTGTTGGGGTAGAGGGAATGGGGGGGGGTGGTTGGAGGTTGGAAATGTCACTGACAGTTCCCAAACTCCAGAGAACAAAGCACACTTATTCATCACTGAACTTTTACCCATGAAGTGTGTGCACTCAAACTGTTAAGTTGTGTCCGTCTTGACCGTAAAATGTATATTCACTGAGAGAGCAGCCTCAAATTTTAATACCAATGGATGTAATTAAACTGGATGAAAATAATAACAACACAAGTAGGGGAAGGAAACACAAATCCTTTCCAGAAATGTGAGCAGACATACCAAGGTCTGCAATGGCACCAGCATTCTTAACTAATTCCCAAAGCCCACTGGCACTAGTGCAGAGAGTGAAAGGGACGCATATGGAGCTTTACTGTCAAGAAAATCACTGGATCCATACATTGTTTGGACTTAACGCATAATCCTTTCCATTGATAAAATTATGTTGAGTGTGCCTGGCTGGAAATCCACAAGTACAGGGCTTCAGCACACATGCTTTTTCCCTTCTCTGGTTTTCCTTTAATTTGCAAATCTTGTAATCTAAGCCTAGAGCTGACTGACCCAACTTCTAAACCAGCACTGCTGTAGCGGCCAAGGCTCCAATCTGTTTTCCATTTAAGTGTCAAGACGGCATCCTTTTTGGTGGTTAACAAAAGCTGTTATTTCAAAATGATTATATGCTAAAAATTGTGTGAGGACCTTAGTAAGTTTATGAACAGGCCCAATGGAAAGTACAGCGCTGCACCCGGAAGCCTTTTTCCTTCTCATCTCTGACCAGAGTGTTATTTACCAAGCACTTCTGTAGGGGGAAGAACCAGGCTGTGCCATTCAGCCAGAGGTCAGGGTTTCTGCTTTTCAACACAGTGCATGTTTTCAGCATTAGTGTCGGGCGACGCCTGGGTGATTCGCCAAACCGTCAAAACACTGCCTGTCTCGGAGTCAGTGAGGACATAGGAAAAGCAGAAGCAACCGTAACGGCGTTAGAGAGACAGGGGCGGCAGTCCCTGGAAAACATCAAGAAGGTGGTCTCCATCAAGGCCCAGCTGAAGTCAGACTTCCTTATTTCATTTCCCTGAGAGGATATATTGAGTTAAATTTTGTGTTGCTCTGGAAGAGCGGCATTTAAATGGGGGAGGGGTAACGGAGGGAAAGCCTGGACTGGGTATGAGGAGGCGAGTGCAAGAGGCCTTGGGGTCCGTCATTTTTTAAACTCACTTTCTTTCACTAAACAAAGACATGACATCTTAGTCCCAAATCCAAAAAATCTCAGGCAGCTACACATCTGTTTATTCTCCCTTCTGTCTGCCTATGGGGGGGTTCAGGTACTGCTCGCATTCCAACCAACAAGTCGCTAAGATCCTATGAATCCTAGGTTTTGGAGCTGATGACTCTGAAATAGCAATGCAGTGCAAAGTAAAAGCAGGGGAAACTTCTCCCCGAATAAGAGTTTGATAAAGATTTTTTTCCACTTCTCCCTGACCTCATTAACTCTTGTAGTTCACTGTAGTTGGTTCTGTCTAACTTTGCTGTGAGAATCTTGCTTTGCATACAACTAAGTTTTGTTATTTCTTCTGGTCTGTGTCATCCATATCTTCCAGCTTGTTTGCGGTTTGGATACAAGTAGGTCGCTTGGCAGCAATCATCACTTTGCATGTATTTACAAGGACTCACATCATAATACCAGGCGCTGCTATGACTGTGGTCAGTCAGGCTTAGTGCAGTGAGTATAATATTGTATGATATTGTAAAGAGTACAGTATAGACCAGATCTATATGATTTTTAGAACATGTGAAAATTACCCTGAATTAAATTCAAATAATTTGTGCTATATAAATAAAATTGACTTGAGCAAACTAGTGTTAATTAAAGTTAAAAAGTCAGAAGTAGGTAACCAGGTTAAGTGTTAACCTACAGCAGCTGAACAAATACAATTTCCAAATTTAACAATTATTACTATTCTTTAGGGTGATGTGTGTGTGAGGATGTGTGACATTTATATACAGTCTATGTGTGCGACGCTATGCTTTCAATATTTAATTTATTTTGTTGACCACAGCAGTCTTTCCATAAACTGACTGCAACAAAAGGTTGCTGTTTCCTGTCAGCTAGACAATACTGAAGTATTAAATTCATGTGGTTATGTTAATATATAGCACCTTAATGTGGTAACATCCATAGCCAGGATTTACCATATGAATCAAAGTATAGTTGTTAAACAAGACAGTATTAGTCTTTGCGTAACTATCATGACTGGAGAATCTAGCTGCTAGCTAGCTTCATCTGAAAATCTTATTCCAAGTGACAACTGATCAAAGTACAAGAAATTCCCTCTCCCTTGAGATAATCACATAAGCAATTTGAGGCCACCGTGACCTTGACCTTAGTTAATCAGTGAGTCAAATTGATTTGTGCCATATTTAATAAAATTTCCTACAGGCAGTATTAATATGTCACATTCACAGTAACAGGAGGTCACTGTGACCTTGACCTTTGACCTCCCAGCACCAAAATCAAATCAATTCATCTTTTGAGTCCAAGTGAATGTTTGTACCAGATTTTACCTTCAGCTGATCTTAAGATGTCAATGTCAAGAAATACATAAACATACTTTGTGAGGCAACTGTGACCTTGACCTTTGACCACCAAATTCTATTCAGGTTATCCTTGAGTCTAAGTGAATATTTGTGCCACAAGTAAAGAAATTCCTTTTGGACATTCCTGATATATTGAGTTCAAAACAACACAACGTCATGTGACCTTGACCTTTTGACCTCCAAAACTAATCAATTCATCCTTGAGTCCAAGTGAATATTTGTACCAAATTTGAGATATCAAGTTCACAGGAAGGGGACGGACAATCCAAAAACCTTGGCGGTCACCAGGGCAGAGGCAATAAGATAATTAGTTCTAGTTTACAGTCATTCAAAAGTGAAATTAATGCTCTCACCAGTGACTGCTATCATGTTTGGTTGAAATGTTACTTATAGCTGATCGCAGACAACTATGTGGAAGAGATGTAAGCTTTATTATGATGTGGGAACTCACCCAGAGGACCCTGTGCTCTTGCAAACCCCAAGCAACGGCCTCTTGTCAGCAAAACTGTCGATCTTCAGGGGACCTGAGGAGGAAGAGGATTCAAAAAGGAGGCAGATCAGAAACAGAATATGAACATAACAAAGAGGGACATTCTTTAAATGAACATGTGAGGCCTCTAGTGCTGCCCACCCTCTTTCAACAGGCAGCCTATTACCATGACAGGAAACGTGCTGATTACATTAGTACTGTTGTGATGTAATTCAATTATGGTCATCAAACTTTTTGATGAAAGCAGACCCCTCCCCTCCTCTCCTAAAGTTAGTCGTTGTTTTGCAAGCTACTGGACCATAACGCTGAGTCCCTATGCTATTAAGACTTTGGTGTCTACCTTTTTCTGATTCTCTACTTTGTAAGCTGGGGAAAAACAGGATTTTAGTCTGAACTAAAATGAACCTTGGGAGAAATCTTCAGAATATTATTAAAGGAGTAACAGTGTTAGTGTTTGGGTTTCAGTGTGAAATTACAGCATAGTAAAAACTAATTGAAAAAGTTAATGAGAAACATGTTGCATTAAGTGAACTTTTACCATACTTTTCCTAATTGTGTCATCAGGCGGAGCATCAGGGGATTGAGGGGATGGGGGTGCTTCGAGTGAGGAAGATGTTACCCTTTAAAGGACTGTAATTTGAGGCTTGACAGTAATCAGCCTGAGTTCCTGTGGTATGGCGTGAAAGCAAAAGTGCCTTGCCTACCAGCCTTTAACACTCCCAACAAGGTCTTTTCTTCTTTCATGTTTCTGTCATCAGTCATCGTTCCCTCTCAAGATATTGAGCCATAACATAAATATGTCTCTTGCAGACTTAGTGAATTGGTACATATACTAAAAACGTACTGGGAACACGGAGAAACTTTGATTTGATTACTTCTCTAACATGGCTGGACAGAAAGGACTCCAGTCTCTATGTGGTCTTTAGCGTGTTTGCATGTAACAGTGAGGATTGGTGCACGTTTAAATAATGCAAAACAATATAGAAAACGTGCTTATTGTAATAACTTCATGAAAACTGAGCATCCCAAGTAAAGACATAAACTAAACTCCACTTAAAGAGAGCCCAACAGATTACATTTCACATTACTATACATATTCAAGTTTCCTAGATTTTCATTTGTTATAAATCAAGGAAACAATGTTGCCCCATTTTGCAAAACAACGGAAGATGATAGGTTGTAAACTCCAGAGAGGATGTGGGTAAATCGCATTAACTCCCTTTGGAGAAGTAGCACTTCCTACTCTATTCTAGGAGAACTTTGCCTTATTACATTCAACACCTATTTTCGGGCATTTCCAAGTCCGCCCACCCATGGCTTTGCATCCCAAACAATTGCCCTTTTAATGGCTCACCACAGTGCAACACTGTTTGCGCCCTGGCAGATTGCAATCAGTGTCCTTCCCCTCAGTAGTACAATTCATATTTATTTTCTGCCGAGAGAAGTGCTCTCCTCATGTGTCGAGGCTATCTGCTGCTTCTTATTACTGTGGTTTGCTTTCATCCACATCCAGCACTCTTTAAATGCTGCCATTGTGTGTTGCTGAAATCTGCCAAAAGACCGGAACATGGACGAAGAACAAAAAGTTCTTCTCACAAACCACTTAGGCTATATGGCAGTTTTCACAGCACTGATTGACACCTGCAAAGATTAAATTGAAACTTTATGTCAGGAAAGGACCTAATCAGTGAAAAGCTAAACCATTGCATGATGGCTTTCAGAATATGAACAATGGTATTTATACAACACTCATCTTTCCAGTGTCTGAAAATGACCAGTGTGTCCATCATAACATCAACATCAGTTACTGTTCCCACATTTTATTATACTATTCTAAACATAAAGTTGAGTAATTAGTAGTGGGAGCAGGGAAATATGCAGTGGTTTCAATATGCAGTGTTCTTGATTTAATTGTAACCAATGTGTAATTCTTCCTGACACATCATCTGACCTTTGTCAAATTGGTTGGTAAACATCTTTACTACCATCTTCAGGTCTCACCATGAATGCTTTATGTGGTTAAGTCAGGGGTTGAACTACTCAAGGACAGTCAGAGACTCGAGGCAACTCCATCATAGTCTTGGCTGTATGTGTCATTGCTGTGCTGAAAGGTGAACCATTGCAGTCTCAAGCTTCATGTTCTCTGGGTCTGAGTCTTCCTATCCCTTCGCTGTAAGATGGCATTAGCTAGGTGATGAGCAGTTCCCTGGTGTTGACCAGACAGTTGGAGTTGTGCCCAAAGGATAAAATGTTTGTCTCATCTGAGAGTCTTTTCCTTGTCCTCTCAGAGTCCTTTCAATGTCATTTGTCAAAATTTAAGCTGGCTGTAAAAGGCCTTTTATTAAAGTGAGTGTTGGCTTCGAGATCATCTCCCTGACGAATGTCCTTGCCAGGTTATCCAATTTGGCAGGTCAACAAACCCACCGAAGAACCTGGGTAGTCCAAAATGTCCCAATTATTGGGGCAACCATGCTCCTGGTAACACTCAAAGCTTTAAAAATGTTTTTTTAAGCCCTCAATATCATTGGAGCGGTGCGCTGTCTGCTTGTTTGACTTCACAGCTTTTTTTCTCCTGACATGAGACAGAATGCTCAACGGTGTGCGCCTTTCTAAACTATGTCCGATAAGTTCAGTTTGTAACCGATTGATTCAAGCTCTAGACAAATCTCAAACATAATTAAAGCTTAGAAGATGGACCTTATCATAATTTGGAATGCTGGGGTCTGAACATATTAGTTTCAGTTTTGTATTTCTACTGGGTTTGCAAAGATTTCTGAATGGAGCCAATGCTGGCCGACACCTTAAAGTGAGAAAAGTAATTGACAAAAATGGCGGCTACTTAAGGCATCTATTTTTAAATACTCCCATTCCACATATAATCAATTTGCTATGCTGAATCAATTCCTGGGATTGATTTATGATGATCTGTTGTAATCTAAAATTAAGATATTCAAATTTCTGCAACCCGTCTTGTCATTCTGGCTGCGTACAGTGGCTGGCCTTTCATTCTTGCCCAGAATTACTTTTGTCGCTTACTTCTATTGCACCACACCAGCTGCCAGCAAATCATCATAGTTTATTGATAGAATAATTGGTATTGCTTCTATTTTAGGAGTCTCCCTGTCAGACTGCTTAATTCTGCTACAAAATGGCAGATACAAAGACTTCTAAAACATACATACATTTTTAATGTGTGGGGAATCTGGGAAAAGACAATTAACAAATGGCTTTGGTCATAGAATCTATTAAAAATGCAAAATAGCATCTACAACATGCATGTTTGCCTGAGCAGAATATTCAAGACTCTTGAAAAGGTAATTTAGATTGGAGGAGTTAGAGAGAGAGCGCTAACAGAACAGTGAGAGGTTTCCAGCAGAGCTTTGGCAGCAGAGACGCACTGACTTCAGAGGCTTGCCACCGCTAACTCAGAGCAGGCCAACAATAATCGTAGACTGACTTGAACATTAGGATGAGGCAGCATGGAGCACTCTTTAATTTTAATGATATAGCACCACTTAAAATGCCCGCAACCCGAAACTGCATTAGGATGAGCCATACAAAATTTAATTTTAAGTGTCGACCTTGAATGCTGAAATCAAGTTAACCAAAGTGTTGTTTTTTTTCTTCTAGGACAGGGAGATTAAAATTATACAGTGAAACACTCATTTTTAAAAGTCCCTATAACCATTGGGGATTTGGAAGATAAACCTAGTGTTAAATAATAAAGCTTAGGGGGCATTAGTTGGTGGCATTTCAAGGGAAAAAAATGAATTTCAAGTTATAAATCTAGTTGTGCTGTCTTGGAGCTACGTAGTTGCAAACAATGGAATCTGGAACAGTGTGATGTAGCCGTTAAAGCCCAGTTGGGGTTTTTTGTTCATTGTTCATTCTTACTCTCTAATGAACCACTCTCATGTTGTTATCATAAATGGAGTCTCCAATGATTGTCTGGTAACCTCAAAATAACAACAGGAAGTGACTGCTCCCAGCCGAGAAATAGTCCTGCACATAAAAACTCTCTGTAAAACCACAACTTTATACTTTGGTTTTTGTGCAAAGTAAACAAACAAGACAAAACACATTAATTAGAGCACTTTAGAGGTGATGTTTCTTTTTTCCTTTTTTTTTTTTTTACATAACCAGGCGAGCTGTTCAACAAGAAAGACAGCTGTTTCTGCACTCCACATGAGAGTGGTATTGATCTTCTGATCCAACTCGGACCTGTTCCCTTAAATCTGAAGTGATTCAACTCAAATGCAGTGTCATTATGAACTGAAACTAAATACGTGTAACATCACTCAATTAGTATGATCCCACTTCAAATCCAATATAACAAACAACTAATGAAAAATTTGGTCTGGAAAAAGAATTTGCAACCCCAATGTTCATGTAAAGTCTCTGTAGGGAGTTCAACAGAGCTGCCAGTTTCAAAATAAACATGCAGATATACTGATCAAAGCAAAGTTGACACATCCACATTCAGGCTACATGCACACTACTACCTTTTCATTTGAAAACCGCATTTTCAACTTAAAACGATCTCAGCCCACGTGAGCATTGCAGCTCTGTATCAGTTTTGATCCCCGTCCATACTAACATGCCTGAAAATGCATATTACATGACCACTTATGTACTCTGGGCATGTAACCTCCAGTGTAAACAGGAAGGTGCACACAGATTTATCGAATGACAGGCCCGCTTCCTAGACATGCAAGCTGTTGCATCATTGTAAAATACAGAATTTAACTGTCCAACAGCTGTTAGCAAAGATAAAAGTCTCAGCAACACTTGGATTATCCATGTTGCATTCTACACTGGTAGCCGAGGCTAATGCCAGTTGTTTTCTTTCAGAAGAGGATCATGTTGTAGGAGTCTGACGATTCAGGCTACGTCATGAGCAAAACTACCCAATCAACAAGCTGTTTGAAGTGTCTGTATCATCCTTTCCAAACATCTCCATTACTGCCTGCCCAGACTGAATTGCAACCCCAGAGTTTTCAAGCTAAAACTGGGCCAGCAGCATTTCTAAACTTCTCTGTTCAAGCGGTTCTGGATTAGTGCATTTCAAACTAAAACGTAGTAGTATGGATGTAGCCTTAAGCAGGGTTAAAGTACAGGTAAGGTACTCACTGATATGAGGTGCTGGCAGAATGCGAGCAGCTCGCACGGGACCATGACGCACCGAGAACAGCTCCTGGGCTTCCCCTGCCAACTGAAAGAAATGATTTCAATAATGTATCAGTTCATATATCAGGTCCATCAGGGAAAAGACGTTTTGCACTCATCAATTAAGATTAACATTAGAATAGGTTTAAACTTAACACATAAGAAAACAGAAGTGTTCTACCTGTTGGTCTGCAAACACCACATTTATCTGGTATTAATAAACAACTACCTTGGGACCAGTTTTAATTTTACTCTCCCTAATGTGGAGAATAATGTGTGAAATAACCATGAAGGATACAAGTCTAGGGAGGTCTCAGCAAAACAACAAAGCACAAGGACAAATAATCATTTGTTCACACTGTAAGAAATATAATCTATTCCAACTGTGTGGAATCGACTCGTCATAGAGACGGAGACAAGGGTAGGCAAAGGCGGAGGATGGGGAACAAGGGCGGTCTGGTGGTTTAAGTTTCAGCCAAACCACCAAGTAAAATCTACTGAGGACAGAAGAAAAGGCCCGGCGGCTTCGCACTGGAAACGAGCTTCCTACACTTACTGTGATAGAGCCAACAAGGAAGGGTTGGGGATATGGGTTAATGCCAAGTGGGAATGAGCCCTATGATGTCTCTGTCCCAGTCTGACTGTACGCACAAGAAACACTCAACACTTCTTAAAACCTCCCCAGACTGTCTTTAATTTTAATTGGTTGATTAAAAAATAATAAAGAAAAGAGGCACTGACTGGAAGCTCAACAAGTTTTTGATGAGATGTTGCAAAGTGTGTGTGTTTCTGTCATAAGCCTCCTTTGGGGACAAATTTCAGACATGGTTACGGTAAGTCTTCAGGAAATGAATGCAAGTCTACGTAATGTCCACAAAAGTGACCTACCACAGTGTGTGTGTGTGTGTGTGTGTGTGTGTGTGTTTGAGTGGTCTAGTAAGTCTTACTCATTATAGGAGACTTGTCTTCCTTATTGGGACAAACAGAAAGTCCTCATAAGGGAATGATTCAAATATTTGTTTGGGTTTAGGTTCAGGTAATAGTAATAATAGCAACTAAGTTAGGGTGAGGTTAGAGGAAATCAATGTAAGGGCGGTTTGGGTTTTTTTACTGCTAATACTTCTGCTCATGAACCAGCTTCAATGATCAAACAAGTGCATTCCAGCACATTTGTAGAGACATGAGATGACATTTACAGATAAACACTAAAGGATGTCCTATTAGAGAGGATTTTAAAGTTTGCTGCATTTCTGGTCTTTATTATAGCAGACTTACAACCGCAGTGTAAAGCACTTAATGGATGTCTGTGTGTGTGTGTGTGTGTGTCAGCTGTTCCTATGTCATGCCGGTATATTAGGTCAATGGCCTGCCTGGCTCTCGGCATGTGTAATGGCACGTTGTTCTAAGCGCAGAATGCCCCACTTTTGTTATTCTTTTATGCGTTAAATTACACTGAAACCTGCATTATCACTTTACTAGTGATTTAATCTGTTTGTTTTAAGTCTTTAAGCCCATCTGAGGGGATGATCGCTCTTTTGTGCAATTAGTAGCCTTTTCAAAGTGGCGGATTTGAAGCTGCGTTTTTATTCAAAGTGCTTAAGGCCCAGCAGTGGTAGATTAACACTGGGGACTCGAGCAGGTTATACGAGCGCTGATAGCAGGAATAAAATGAGGTTGGCAGCAGGGTAAAATTCCTATACAGGCAAATGGACCTGCGAGGGGAATAATGGAATTTGCTGGATTAAAATGAGACGATGGGAGGGCCGGAGGTTAATGCGTCGGGTTATTGTGCATTACCCCGCTGCTCATCCTCGTCTTACATGGCTCTGTGTGACATCTACTGCCATCCACAACATTGCCACCATTACATTAGAGGCCTTGTGTATGCAATATGCCAAATTGCTTTTTCAAAGTTGTTTTCCCCTGAATACAGTTATTCATTACATTCATTTCATTTGTGGCTCGGATGCTTTTGTGAAATCACAGTGTCTGCTCTTTTGTTTTAATCTCTCAAATGTAATGTCATAAGCTGTGAAGTGATATTTGGGCCATATTCACAAGTGAGTACGCTCACTAACACAGTGCGGGACATATTGGAGGTTTGGAGGGAGCAGGTGCTTTAGGGATCATACACTAACAGGTGCCTGCTCATAGGATTTCGTAACATGCAATGTTAAAACTCAAGAGTGCGCGAGCACCGGACTGAGGCAGAGCAAACCAGTGTTCACTGTTTTTTAGGTGAGGCATCCACAGGTGATGTAGATACAGAATAAGAACACTACAAATTTAAAAACAAGTCAAACAGTTCAAATTGCAGCATTTGGAGATTTAAAGGTGTTTTGTGTTTGTGTTAATTTTGGTCATTAACACTTTTGGTAATATATGTGATTATGTCTTCAGCTGTTCCTGCACAAGGTTTATTTAAAATCTCCAATTTTTCAATAGTTTGTTCCTTAAATTAAAATCATTTTCTGGAATCAGCTTAAAGTTTACCGCAGACATCAAACACTTTCATCATTTTTACCAACCAAAGGAATTATGAGCTGTTTATCCTACACAGATCCTGAGATCTTCACACTGTTGACCACACCACTAAGAGGCGTATGAGATTATATGGAATAAATGTGGTTAGGTAAGAAGGACTGGGCCGATACTATAGGACACCAGTAGCTATCACTTAATTCCCATTAGTACTCTCCAGATCAAAGCAGTAACAACTGTAAATATGCATGTGTCATTACCGTACTGAATACAAATAATTTATATTTATTCATTTACTTGCAGCAACTTTCTTATAAATTAAGCTTTCTGCTACTGTCACCATGAGACTAAAATGAATTTTATAATGTCCCCCCATTGTTGATTGGTTGAATGAAAAAAACATGAGGTCACACTTAAACATGTCCTGTGCAGCTTTGATGTTTTTTATATAAAATGTCTACATGTTGGGGTTTTGTGTCAGCTCCTCAGGCTTGAGGATGGAGTACAGGGACAAACAAGGTCCCATCCATTAAAATTCCTCACATGCTTAGATTTTATCGAACAATTTTCTGCAGAAGGTTTTTTTTGTGCTTTGAATTGAAAAAAATAAATCACTAATACTTTTTTACAGCCACGCAAAGTGTGCACCGCTCATTACAGAAAGTCCCTTCTGTTTTATTTTCTGCCACATATTAAAACTCTCTCAGGCCTAAGTCAGAACCTAAAACATGTTTGTAACCGACACATGCATTAGCACAGACACTTGCTGCAGACACCTGTCTTCCCAGCAGGTCATTTCATCTCAACACGTTTGCAGATAGACAATTAGTCCACGACAGTCTGCCTCTTATCAGGCTGCGGTGGGCGACACCTCTCCAGTGTGAGGCGACAGTGATCTTCATCGCCTAAACACCTCTGTCAGCATCCATATGACCAGTCAGGAGTCCCCATCTCACAAGTGTGTGAAAGCGTGTGTACACGTGTATGTTCATACTCTGCTGGGCCATTACAGAGGGTGTCGGCTTAGCAACTGTCACAAACACTTCACAGCCACTCAAGAGCCAGAAACCGAGGCACCTTCAGTGCTTACTTAAAACCCTGCGAAAAATAAAACACAGCCCAGAAACATCCCGTAAACGTTCAAAACTGAAAGAACACAATGGGGAAGGACAGCATGTGATAAGAGGCCAGGGTGAAGCTGTGTGAATCAGAACTGGTGTCGAGCAAAGCCACCTCACCACGCTTACAGTATATTTTACTGGGTGTGGAACAACTGTAATCCTCTGCTGCACCATAATAACTGCAACAGAAAATCTTCCAGCAGCAAAGGAGTTGCCACATCACAGTGGCCGATGTGTGCGTTCACGGGCAAAGTCAGATTGTGTCCTTTTACCCGCGGCCCTTGGATGTTTACAAAGAGACTGATTAAGGACTTTAGCGTGTTTAGATCTCACAGGATGTATGTGAAGTTTGCATGTTTCAGTGACAGCCCCTACATGAAAGGTGATACTCAGTGAGCCAAGGCTTCGCAGGGTTGTGGGTAATTTGTTAAGTCACAGAGCACATGAAATCTTCTAATGATTTTCCAAGACGGACTTTAAAGAAGTGAATTTTTCTAAATGAGACATATTACCCAGGCTACTTGCTGCAGGTTCTGAGGTCAGCACCAGAATGAGAATATGTTTTCACAGAATGCAATTTAACATGAAAAAGAGCACACATGTTATACAGTAACTATAGACTGTATGCCTCTGTGTTGTTTGTTTAAATTGGTTTATTCAATGGAGAGTTCTCTCTCTGTGTGGTGCACATCTGATCTGTAAATAACAGATCATGTAAACCCGTTTTGCTGTATGTCCCGCTTTACTTGTAAGGTCTCCATCTTGTGGCCATATTTCACATGACATCAGGAAAGGGCTGAATGTGCCAGTATTACGGATTAACTCCGTTTGTTTACAAGCAGTAGACACAATGTCCAAAAGGCCACCCACACAATCAAACTCAACAGCCCTTAAACTAAATAAATGAACTGTGATGAAAACAAACTGTGTGGTGGTCTCCAGTGATGTGAATGGGGGTGTTACACTGGACTTTGATTTGGTCTATGACCCCGTCTCCTTTCCTGTGATGACCTTTAGATTACATTACTTCTTTCTTTATACCGCTATTATTTTAACTGTTCTATTATTATCGTAATGACTCATGGCTATTACCCAAATACTGTCATTGTAGTGCAGGAGAATTTATTTCCGGACTGTTGTATCAGACTGGATCAGTTTCAGAGGGAGAGATTCAACCATGAAGCTAAACTAACAACTGTGCAGCTGCCGTTTTACTCAAATACATTTAAAAGAACAGCACCGCATGTGAACTTGTATCCAACTGTATCCGTTTCCATTCTGCTTAAATCTAAATTTAACTTTTTGAGTGGCTGCACGAACTTAATCTGTCAGTCACATCTCACTGACAACACCAACAAAACACAGCTCGTGCTCTATATGTTTATTTGTCCACCGCCTTTGTTCAGAGAGCTGAGGAGGAGGATCTGAGGACCTGTGTTCCAGCTCTGGTTGGAGGGTGAAGCGCTACTGTCAAAAACATGGTCAATGCTCCCATCTAGTGGACGATAAAATGATTGATGATGAGTTAAACCTGCAGAGAACTAAATGCCATCCAGACACCCACTACTAAATGTATATGAATCAAAATATCAGCAATGGTTCAAGGAACTTCATATATAATAAAATTGTTCCTAATTACTATTGAATATTGTCATTGAATACTGAAGTGCAATATAATATATCAGTTTTTTGGTATCTTGTTTCAAATGTTATGGTCGTACATGTTTACAGGTTGTTGGACTAAGGTTTGAGTATATTTATGAATTCTTCTGCTTTGTCTTTACTTGAACACTAATAATATTCATTTATAAGCAGATACTTTTAACAACCCCCCCCCCCTCGAATACAGCTAACCTATAATACTGTGTACTTGTAAGGAACCACAGATATGATACTTGTTATAGCTGAAACTATGTTGTATTTTATTTGTCAGCGAATGATGAAATTGTAACTAGGAATTAAAACAATATTCAATGTGGGTAAAACAAAATGCAGCCCTACGTACATCTCAAAAACTCGTGCAGTATTTTACATCTTTCAAAAGACGTGTTTATGATGAAATAAATAAAATATTGAATCCTTCAAACCTTGGTAGTAATAACCACATTTGTCTCTGCAGCAAACTGACAAGAAAAACAGCTGAGCTGCACAAAACACAGATAAACTGACTGTGTGTTTTTTCTTGTTGTTTATTTCTAACGGTTGATCTTCAGGTACACTGGTGCTCTCCGGCCTCAGACATGTCCTGACACGTTCCGTTTGGCTTTTGAACTCAGCATGGACACAGTATTTGCATAACACGATAACATGACAAGTGACTTGATGAGCCTTATAGCTCGGTGGCATTTCAGTTCAGAGTGTCATAAACCAACTGGTCTAGGACCTGTGGTTTTGAAACAGAAAGTCATAACGTAATCATTTAAGTCCTTGCTCTCAAAACATGAAAACATGTCAGGTTATCTGTGTATAACATGAAACCATGTCTTTAAACATAAAGGTAGATCATTGGAGATCAACTGACTGTACTTGGATACTTGTGGGTCAATACATTTAGACTTTTTTTATTTATTTACTTACAGATACGCCCCAGATCTGCATCCCATCTGTGTAGCCAATCATGAGGCAGAGGGGAGGGTCAGTAGTTCCACTGTGCATCTCCATGAACTCTGGGTTGCGGGCAGTGTCTGTGCAAAAAGAGAGGAAGACATAATTCATATTCATAGGACCATGAATTATTCCCTGGTAAATCTGGAAAAAAAGCCAGATCTTGCAACGTTAAAAAACCTGGATCCGCCTGATCTTCCCTGACCCATACCTCACCTCCCCCCCACCATGTTTTGTGGTGATCCTTCTACTATTCTTGTGTAATCTTGATCACAAACACACTAATCAACCGACAAACAAATAAACAGGGGTAAAAACATAACCTTCATATCCAGTATTATTAAAAAAAAAAAAAGAAAGATATATAAATATCATCTCAAAGACAAAAGCAGCTAATCATTGTGAAGCACTGACATCTGTTCAATCCTGCGAACGCTCTGACACTGAAGTGAAAGACTCACCGTTGACGTCAGCTTTCTCGAACCGAACCCATATAATCTTCTCTTTTTCATCAGTGAGTGGAGAACCAGTATACGCCTGTAGAATCACAGGAAAGAGAACACACCTTTGTTTCTGTACGTTTGACACATCTTTACTGTACTTTCTCTGCTGTCTATCATGTCTAACTTTCATTAAACCTTTGTGCTCCATTGTCTTCTCCTTTCTTCAGTGTCATATATAATTTCACTTGTTACGATGTCAAACTTACATGAGATAGAGAGATTTCTGTGTGCCTGTGTAAACTACAACCTAAATGCTCCTTTCAGGTACAAGGCATTATGGGAGTTTTCAATTTCTATTGTCAAGATATATTTGTATGCATCACAGCTCATTGACTCACAATGATTTTGTCGGATGTCAATTAAATAACTTTGGAACGCTACGGCCATTCTAACTCTGTAGCTGTCTCAATACGTCTGTCTCACCTCATGATCAAGACATAATGGACTCATTAAAATCAGTGATGTTGTAGGGTGATGTGATACCACTGCAGATGTTAGTCTGGGTGAACTCTTGGAGGAATAAAATACCTGGGGGACGACATCCTGCAGGAAGGTCACCACACTCTCCATGTAAGACTGCTCCCTGTGACAGGAGGAAGCTTGTCATCACTTATGATAATGCAGTTATCAATGTAACTCAGTCAAACGGTATTTCAAACTCAGAATATCTCCACAAGTGTTGGTAGAATTCCATAAACGTATATCTGCAGTCATGCTGCAGTATCAGTGACCTGCATGAGGGGAACATTTAAAGGAGTAAAATAAAAAATTCTTACGTAGCAGCTTGTGCTCGCACCAAAACCCCTCCAGCACAGCGACTTGGTCTGCGCGGGGAGTCGGATGCCATCTTGTCTCCTGTTGGTTTTTATCCTGAAAATATATAATTTTAATTAAGTTTAACCTGATAGCAGCAGGACACAAAATATATAATCATGTTACAATCACACTAACTTGCAAACTTTTCAGCAGCACACTTGTCTTGAATTGTACTTAAAAGTCCAGTGTGTAAGATTTAGGTGAAAGAGAACTATTGGCAGAAATGCTGTGATGTTTTCACTAGTTCATTTCATCTAAATTATACGAATTGTACTTTTCTTTAGTCCAGAAAAGGCCCCTTATATTTAAATACTTTATATTTACGTGGATGGGACCCTCTCTATGGAGGCCGCCATGTTTTTTACATTAGTCCAGACTGGACAAACTAAACACCTTTTGAGTTTTTATGTCACTTAAAGGTTACCCAAGTTTCTTTTTCATGTTTGGAAGAAGAGGGTGAGGTGAGGGGTGTTCAGCTTCAACATGTAACTTCAATATCACAAAATTCTACACACTGTACCTTTAAGATATCATTCAAAATAGAGCAGTATCACAATTTGTGAAGTATAAACAACATTTTACCAGTAAACACAGAGAATGTTGGTGGAAGAGAATGCTGAAACTGCTTTTTATCAATAACAGCATTTTCACAAATTAGCACAGAGTTGAATCAACTCTCATAATTCTCCTAATATCAACTTGACGATCCATTATGTGCTTTAAGATGTCGCCCTACTCAACCATCATTTTAATCAACACAATCGACAGCTTTTAAAATGGCCATGAGGTTAAAACAGTCTACTGAAAACTGGAACCTTCTAAAAGTAGGATTTATTCTAGTGGTATTTAAATTGCACATCCAAGCATCTACTCAACAACCAATCAAACATTTTTATTTTATAAGGCGTAGGAGCAAACAACAGTTCTATTGGTGTCTTGCAGACACGTCACTGGACTGTTTTAATGAGGTAAATGTCTTTACAGTCTTTTCAACGTCTTTAAAGACCAAAAAGTGTCAACGAGTGCAAAGAGTGAGTGAAACAAGCTCCCTACAGTTTGTGTAAGATCACCCTTAGGGAGCGCTCAGTTAAAAGAAGACAACACCCAATGGCATCTTATCAGTAAAAGAAGACAGCACCCGACAGGAAGCTCCAACTTCTGACTGCAGTGTCTCCTGCTGACATCTCCGTGTCCGTCCTGCGAGCAGGTCAAAGAGCTGAGACAGCCGCTTCAGAAGATCCCGAGCATGCTGAAGGAATTCTACTGCATCTCTGTCCCGTGAGCTCTAATGGATGCCTGGACAGGAGGGGGTGACGAGTGGACACTGGATGGACGCACATGATGGGAATATCAACCGAAGCAAAGCTTAACGTCGATGATGTGCAGACGTGCGGCATCAGGATGCAGAGACTGACTGTGATAAGTTCCCTGTGGTAAAATAGATGTGATCGAGCGAAACCAACCTGCAAATCATCAACTAATTATTTCTTACATTCAACCATCATGGACCTGACTACAGTAACCTCAGCTGCTGACCACTGACAGAGGCTGTTGATGCTCTACGACCTGTTTCAGTGGAGTTAACGTGATGAAGAAGTCCAGTATCAGTGTGTGTGTGTGTGTGTGTGTGTGTGTGTGTGTTACAAACCAACAACAACAACAACAACAACAACACACTGAGGGCTGCATGTCTCCACTGACTGACGTCAGGAGCTTCTCTCACAAAGAATGACTCACGTCTCATTCATTTAGCTTGTGGCAGCAACAAGCGGCGGACACACACCTGACAGCTGCCAGAGACACACCAGCTACAGGCTAATGCTAAAGTGATAAAGGTGGACGAGGAGCCAGCAGCTAACTTGGCTAGCTAGCATTAGCTGATATAACTGCCTGCAGTGAAAAGCTCGAGGACCAGGACCCATGCGTGTGTGTGTGTGTGTGCGTGTGTGTGAATGTGTGTGTGTGTGTAGATACGAACCCGAGCCGGTGGACGCTGACGGAGTCCTGGGGTTCGAACTTGTGTGCTGGTTCGTGGCTCTCCACCAAAAAATGTCAAAACACAAACAGACGAGATTTGCGGAACTGTGCTGTGTCAGCGGGAGCCAATCGGCGCACGGGAAGGGTCGCGTCCAGCCAATCAGACGGCAGCGCGGGCGGGACTAGCGGCTGTCGCCTATCAGAAAGGGAGAATTTTTCAAAATAAAACCCTGGATGTCCCATGTCCCCAGTGATCCGTGTCTCAGTCTTTGTCTGCAGACACTGTGGAGTAATGGAGGAGCAGTGATACAGCACAGGACACTTGGCTTTGTGCTTTGGTAACTTGGGCAGAATTCACCGAGTGTCAAATAGCAGAGGAAGCACAGTTTGCATCAGTATTCACCTCAGTGATGGTTGATGTAAACTGATGTTCAGGCTGAAGCTGAGTGGAGCTGTGATGGAGTGAGGTCACTAAACGTCACTAAAGCATTTGTTTACAGCAGACATTTTGACATCACAGGCCTTGTTCATGTCATCACTGAGCCCGGTGTGTTTCCTCAGCACATGCAGTTTAAAAAAGGTCTGTAAGAACAATGAAGATGAAACTTCTATCGCTCAGGCAGCATGAAACATTGTGAAGGAACATGTGTGTGCACTGTGCACTGCTTGACTATAATGTGTTGGTATGTTTGGCCTTCAAATATTTTGATTAATTTGTTTTAATCCAAATCTAGAAGAAAATCAAGTGTGAAAAATGAAGGGATCTGAATTCTCTCTACTTTTAATAGGCTGATACAGAAGTGGGTTTTCTCCACTTGTAGAAATTAAGAATCACTTCTGCTCACATGCACAGCCCTTCATAAGAGCTTCTGAATTAGCTGATGTAGAAGTATATAATGGTGGTTTTTCTATGACAGTTTTACGAGTAATGTAACAAATGGCACCAAGTAGAAAGCATATCTCTACCAATGCCAAACAGTCTTCTTCAATTCAATTAAGCTGCATCAGTTCCCTAAATGTGCCAGATTTTTTTCTATCTTGCTAAGTTGAGACAGTGAAAAAAACCCTTTGGATTCGCCCCCTGATCTGGATCCGCACCAAAATTGAAGGGGTTGAAACCCTGACCCATAATGCATCCTTCCACCAAGTTCCTGAGTCACTACGAATGGATGAGAATTTGAGTGGATCTGCATTTTGTGAATCAAAATAAGGTGGTGATTAAGTTACTGTACAGTAACAAATATTCCTCTCAACCATATCAGAAAATGTATATGTTGCCTGTGTTTAATGTGAGCAGTTTGCAGTTTGCTCTGTATATGTTCTATGTATTTGACATAAGACATGAATATGCAATATGGTGATAAAGTGGCCAAGCAGCTTTGGCAGAGGTTCGCACTTCTCTTCTAGTCAGTTGTGGAGTGGGTTAAGTTTTTATTGTCATAGTGTTTGGACTGGACATCGATCATGATCTGAACTACGCTGATCATCACTGATGCTGTCAGCTGCAAATATTGTCCATGTTAAACTGGCTTAAAACTGGACCATGGGAAACACCGCTGTTAGACAAACACTGTGTGACAGGCAGGGCAGGAAGTGGCTTGACCATTGTGTTCAGTGTCCAGACCAGTTCTGGTGAATGTTTGATTTAGGTGACGTAGAGACCAGCCTGGAGAGAGATGCACTGAAAGCTACTGATTTGTTGAAGTAGCTTCTTCCATATTGGGATTCATAATAACAATCAGAACTACGAAGGTTAATCAAGCTTGTCAGTAACTTCATTGTAGATACAGAAAGCCCTCATTAATCAGGTATCTGAAAATGTACCATGCAGTGATATTGTCCTTGATGGTGATCTTTTTGTCGGACTTGGGGGATACAGGACATGAGCCTCACAGATTGAAGTCTTGTTCTCATAAGATTGTTGATGAGCGCAGAAAAGCTAGAAGGACGTTTGAGGGGATAAATGATGTAACTAGTGGAAAGGCTGTGGTGGCAAAGGCCAGAGAATATTGAGCGTCTTGAGTCAGAATGGTTGAGAAGGGCTGATTGAACACAGGCACGGTGGCAGAGGGTCATCCACAACAGACTTGCTCGGAGTATCAGTGAGGCTGAATGAGACGTAGAAGAAGTGGATATCCTCCAAGACTGAGAAGCCAAAGAAAAACCTGCTCGTGTTCGTAAAAGGTTAAATAATGTTGGTTTCATCAGTCTTGCAAAGTGTCATTTGACAATGTTTGTGTGTCTGTGTGAGAGAGAGCAAGAGAGAGAGCAAGAGAGAGAGAGAGAATGAAATACTAAACTAAAATATTTGAGAATTTAAAATGATCAATCAAGACAGTTTTTTAAGCTCACATTTTCTGAGCACATTTTCTTCACAAATGTGTGATTTCAGGGGTACATGTGTTCCTCTGTGAGCGTCGTTCAGGTTGTGTATGACCCAGTCGACCTGGTTCAGTGTGGAACACGTGGGATGAGGAGCAGAACCTTGTTAACATGGTTTTCAAATGGTCTTCCACAGAGAGCCCACCAGGGGGGTTTCTGTGAGCCACACTTCAGTGCAAAGAGTAGAGTCACAGCATCTGCTTGTGTTTGACATCACTGACCAGCATAAATACTCAACACAGTGCACACACCCAGACACACAAAGACACACAGAGAGGAAACCATTCAACATGAGTTGTTGTGATGTAATTACTTTTCATGTGATGTGAAAAATTATTCAAAGTCAATGAGATGGAAAGTGTTCTGCAGTCTATCACAGGAACTGGCATTGTTTACTTCCCTCCAGCACATCATTTGCTCTATCTCACAGTCACAATTATTCTCTCTGTCTTACTGTCATACACATTCCACTACAGTGTATCACACGCCTCATTTAACGAGGCGCTGGTGTGCGCATGCGTGTGTGCAGCCCCTCGTGTGTCTGCTGCTGCATTGTGGGGGGTTTTCTGTTTGTTTTGCCAGTTGGTTTTAGGATGCATCTTTTAAAGTAAGTAAAATAAATCTCCCTCGGAACCTTCTCACACACACAAGGTCTCGTTTTTTTCCCCCAGTGATGTTGAACATTGTTCCATGCACCGATCATCATTCTGCCATATTTGAATCAAAATGTAACGACAGCAGAGGTTTTGCCGAACAGTCCAAAGTTTTTAACACTTTTTAATTTCAGGTGTAAATTCAGAGGCTCAGAGGATCAGACTGAACCCTTTTTATAATTAGTCCTGTCTTTGGATATATTATTCAATAGATTTGAGATCCTATTTAATCAGTGACAGTGTGCATCCGCTTTACATCGTTGTCCTGTTTACACTCATTAAGACACAGTGATATCAAACCACGTGTCTGTTTCAGTACAAATGAATCAGTGTGTCAGTCTTCAGCTGCACGTTATTGAGAGAACCTGATGAAACGATCATATGTCACTGATCATAACAAGGAAGAGCATGGAGAAAAAGTCAGAGTTGAACCTCGGTGGTCGTGTGTGTCCCTTGTTTCCAGTAAGATATCATCCTGCAGTTGTGGCCTTTGTCCATCTGATGGCAGTATGACTCCAGCTCTGAAACCTCCTCTAAATCCTCCCTCTTTGTTCTCCTGCCAATTCTGCCTCTTCTGCTGCCTCCCCCCCCCCCCCCTCCCAAAATGAAACGCAGATAGACGCAGACATTGTGATGGCTACACATGTCGCCAGCTTTGCATACCTTCAAATACACCAGGACTCTTACTTTGAAACTGAGACACACACACAAACACAAACAGAAACTATAAAGGAAGGAGTTTATGTGTCCCATATGTGATGCCACATTGAATATCCGGTCGAACTTGTCTTGTGTTTTTTTTTCTTTTTTCTCCCCATTCCTCCTCTGTCTTCGTTTTATCAGATGACACTGGGCTGCTGGGATTCCTGCTCCCTCTCTTCCTCTCTTTGCTGCATGATGACGACCACGGATATCACCGCTGCAAAGGCCTCTGGTGTTGCAGAGTGACCACCAAGGTTGCTAAGCCGTTGCTTGGCGCCCAAGCTTGGATTTTCCGGTAAAACAGAAATCATACTTTTGCTAGAAATGAAAGTTGTAGTTTCCTTAGGACCACCCAGGGGCTGGAGAATCTAGGGAAGTCCATGTGCTCCTTTCATAGAGTTCAAGTACAGAAGGAAATTTACAATGACTAACTTCTATATTATTTAGTACTGATACTATTCCCATATAGCAGTTGCCATTATTCGCCATTTATTTTAAATATCACGTTAAATAGTTAAGGTAAATTCATTTGTGCATGGTATAGAAATGAGATTTTACAAAGGAATCTTTACAGCCCCGAAAATCTGACAACAACACGACACAGAACAGTGAGCATGAACGAGACAACGTTCCAATCATAATGGTACTAAATTTAAGTTGCCGTGCTGTTATTTTATCCAGCAAATTACTGAGCTCAAACTTTAGACAATAATATTTTTCCCGCAAGAATTTAACCGAACAATATCAGTTACACTAAAGAAGAGAGAAAATTGCTTTTTTTAAATGTACCAGTCACTCAGTGGATCACTTTCCTCAGCCCTCCCTCCAGGCCCAATGCACTTACTTTCTATTGACAAGCATCAGAAAGGAAAATTAGCCAATTTTTATTACAACAATAATGCAATAGACAAAGATAAGAGCGCACAGAGAAAAAGGGACAAGTGGAGTTTGTAAGGATGATCAATATATTTGAATGGATTGGTTTTGTCAGGGCCTTTACTAAAGATAAGGGATCTTTACAGGTGCTTCAGTATTTCAGAGATTCACAAACATAACTAAAGTTTCAGTGTGAACAGAGTTGTTTCTTGTTTCTGTTGCACTTTGAGACTCTCATGTTGCGTTGATTAAGCCGCCGTCACCGTGACGACAAATGAGGAGTTGTGAGTTGTAAGGCTTCTAATTGGGGAACAAATGTGTGTTATTGTGGCTGCTGAGGTGGTGGTGATGATGTGTGTGTGTGTGTGTGTGTGTGTGTGTGTGTGTGTGTGTGTGTGTGTGNTACTCTAAAAATGACATACATCTGCACAGTGTGTATATTTTGCCTCATTACGTTTTTTGTAGGAGTCAAATT